CTTTTTTTTTTTTTTTTTAATTTTTTTGTGGTAGAGTAGAAGTTTATTGTTTCTTGATTATGTCTTCGGGGAAAAGTATTACTCATGTCGAATCCGGGTAAGTCGAAATCCTTGCGAATTAAACTTCGAGATCCGGTAGAAGGGGGCGAGAAAACTTTTGGTTCCGTGGGTATGGAACGCGAGACGTTTGTAACACCGGGTGCAAAAATCGGATCTGCAGTAGTAGATTCACGGACTATGGAAAAGGTGTGTAAAGTAGGTGGCTCGGAGACCGGAGTTGGCTCAAGCCGTGTAGCCGGGCAGCCAAATCAGTGTAGGGGCGCGCGCTTCAATGTAGAGTCGGAGCCGAGTGAAGCCGCAGAGCCGACAGCTTGCACCCGGATCGAGGAGAGGAGGGAGAAAGAGAGCAGGCCACGTGGGCCTGCTGCTGTCCATGGCGCGTGGGGTTTGGGGGGACGCGCGCGCGGGAGTGGGCCGTGTCCCGACGCGCGCGTGCCGGTTGGTGAATGGGGCAGTGCTGACGCGCGCGCGCTGCCCAATGGAGGAGCGCGTGCGCGCGCGTCGGTGGAGAGTGGTGGTGTTGGTGACGCGCGCGCGCTGCCCACTGAGGGCGCGCGTCCGCGCGCGTCGCTGGGGATTGTTGTGGCGCGTGAGCGCGCGTCGGAAGGGGGGGTGGACGCGCGTGCGAGGGCGTCATCCGAGGGGACGCGCGCGCGTGAGGGCGCGTCCGGAGCTAATTTTCGGCGCGGTTTTTTTGATCAAGTCGGGCAACATGAGGAGCAAATTGATGTCGAAGATAGTGTGAATGTTTGGAGTGCCGAGAGGCGAGAAATCATTGAATCTTGGAGCGACGATGTAGAAACGAGTATTCACGTTAGTGGGCAAGTGGATGGAGTTGTGGCTAGTAGGCGTTATTCTCGACGTCAAATCGTGGATTTTGGGAGCGATAGTGATGATTCTAACCACGTTCCTTTGGTGAGTGATCATGCGGCGCCAAATAGTGAAGTTGAGCTGACGGATGAAGAGGAGGTGGAAGATGATATTCCGCCAAGTGATGTTGAGGTTGATAAGAGGAGGCAAAAGAAAAAGAAGCCAATTAATTTGGACTTAGTTGATTTTGATAGTATGTTGACGGAAGAGCATTTGCACTCTATTCGTCGTCTGTCTGGAGCGCCAAGTAATGTCGAGTTGCTGTTGCCTCAGAAGGGCGACCGTCTGTATTCGCCGCCCGATGGGTTTCATACAGTATTTTTGGGTTACTTGACTTGTACATCTCAGATTACTCCGCATCCGACTTTGTTGAAGGTTTGCGAAGAGTTCAAGATAGGGTATAGTCAGCTTACTCCGACTGCAGTGCTTACATTTGAGGCGTTTCACCATAGGGTGTCTCTCGTGGGTTTGCCTATGACCGTGAGTTTGTTCAAGGCGTTATTTACGTTACACCGGCCCAATATGACGCCTTTCTTTTGTTTTCATCCTCGCGTTCCTTACCAATTCGTGAAGAGTGTGAAGTTATCTTTGGGGAAATGGAAGACCCATTTTTTTTATGTGAAGGCTCCCACTTTTGACGTTCTTGTAATTTGGAATCCTACGTGCGAGAGCTTCACGATAACTGCGAATATGGCGAAAAGGATTGAAGAGTCGGGATTGTGTGACGTGGAATTTGACCCGAGGGTTTTGATACCAAAGGCGAGGGGTCAGCACCATATATCCTTTTGTTGCCTTGACTTGTGTTTTGTTTTTTTTTTTTTTTTTTTGTTTTTTTTTTTTTGTTGTTCTTTGGTAGTGTGTACCTCATGTCACTTATGTGTTTGTTATCTTTTGTAGATGGGGGTATTACCTTTGCGGCACTTCAAGCTAAGGCGAATAAGACGTCGAAGAAGACGTCGAAGAAGGCATCGAAGAAGATACCTTCTACGTTGGGAGGTTCTTCAAGTGGTTTGCTTCGTGAGGAGGTCCATGTAGAAATTCCTCGAGTAGTCGCAGATGATCGTAGAAGTGCTGGTGAAGTGGAGGGGCGTCCACCGACGAGGGACCGTGGCAAGGGAAAGAGGGTGGATACCGAGTATGTGGCTGTGCCCTAAGCGTCGGGTGTGCTGGACGGGGGTTGGACGCTTAAGAG